CTGTGACAGCTCTTTGGTTTCACCCATTAATGCCAATTGTTTCAGTTGGAAAGGACTGGATCTTTCTGTGATATTGTGAGCTGTGAGTGGTAGCATGTCCAGAAAATTCAATACTATAATCAATTCTTCCTTTGGGGGTACCATCTGCTAATGGAAGCCAGCTCAATGTATCTGCATTTGCTTCTCAGCCTCACAGGCAATGTTCTAATTTGTAAATATAAGCACTTAATATTAGAGCCCACCACTGAATGTAGCCCAAAGCGACACTGCCTTATTCTCTTTAAGCACACTAAGTAAGGATCCATGGTCCCGTTATCAGGAATTTTCACCATTAAAAGTATTGGTGGAACTTTCTGATTCCAAATATGACCACCAATCCTTTTTGTGTTTGGGCGTATTCATGCTCCACGTTAGCCAAAGTCCTGGATGTATAATTATTGGACATTCCTCTCCAATAGGCCCCTATGAGCTAATACCATCCTGATACCATATGGGGAAGCATCGCACATCAGTACCAGATTTTTTTTTCAGATTATGGAGTGCCAACACATTTGAGGATGATAGGTATCTCTTTACTTCATCAAAAGCTAGGGCCTGTCTATGAGACCATTTCCAAGGCTGACCCTCTTTTAAGAATTGATGCAATGGTACCAGGATAGATGCCAAGTTGTGTATGAACATTCCATAATAAATTACCAGTCCCAGAAATGACGTAAACTCCTGGAGAGACATGATAGTCAGGACATCTTTGTTTGCTTTCATTTTATCTTCCAATGGGTGTAACCCAGACTTGTTGACTCTGTAGCCTAAGTAGATCTCTTGGAAGGCCTGGAGCACATACTTTTTCCTTCTTAGGCATACACCTGCCTCAGCTAAAGCCCTTATGACTATATCCAAGTTCTCTAAGTGTTCTTTGTTAGTTTTCCCTGTTATCAAGATGTCATCTAGGTAAATGGTGACCTGAGGTAGATCTTCGAAATGTTCTCCATTGTCTGCTGAAAAATTGAACATGTTGATGGTATGCCCACTGGCAGTATTGAATATAGGTACTAGTCCTTATAAGTACTAATTGTAGCATACTTCTGAGAATCCTGATCTAAATACAAGTAAGTGTGACTCATATGAAGCTTCGTGAAGGACAAACCTTCTGCCATCTTTGTGTTCAAATCCTCTATCCAAGTGTAATGATGCTGTAGCTTTAAGAGGTTATTTTGGTTTCTTTTAAGAGAGAGATTGAAAGGGAGGTGCTAAGCTGGCTAGTTAAGACCACTTGAAACAGCTTGGCGGGCCTTGGGTATTTTTAACAGCCTGAATGGATGTGGCCAGCTCTCTCAGATTAGGATTTCTGGGTTTTGGTTTTTCAGTAGCATCAGAAGCAATTGGGGTCTCAACAGATTTGGAAGCTTTAGTGAATATCTCTCGGCTGCTACTCTCTCTGAATTTTCTTTTTATTGTTTGTCCTCCTGAATCGGAGAACTGCATGTAAGAATCTGTCTGAACATACCTTTTTTGCCAAGGGGTATGTTTATGGGATGTTACTATATTTCAGAATGTTAATTTGTAATAGTTACTATATCTATTATTCAGTAAAGTTTTTCAGTACAGTTAAGTTATTCTAAGTTTCTCTTTCTTTGGTTGTATTTTAACAAAAGTGTTTAAATAAATTGTGTTTTGCTTAACGTCGAGAAGTTTGACAGTCACATTGTATCTGGAACAGGTACTTCACATTTGCCTTTAAAAATAAGAAAACATTAGGGCCTAGGCTACCTTCTTAAAATATTTTGAAGGGATCTGATCTGGACTGGTACATAACACTGAGGTATAGGGTATTTATCCAATGGCAACAAATGGTTTACTGTTTGTTTAAATCCTCACAAAGATAAATGGACCCATCGGGCTTCAAAATTAGTACAACCAGTTTGGTTTGATCTGCTTTGATTTGTTATTGTCACATGTACCTAGGCACACTGAAAAGTTTTGCTTTGCTTGCAGTTTAGGCAGATAATACCATATAAAGTTCATTCAGGTAATCGAACAGAATGAAGAATACAATGTTACAGCTGCAGAGAAGGTGCGCAAAGAGTGTGATCACAATTACATTTAAAATTTGAGGGGTCTGTTCAGAAGTCTAATAACAGCAGGGAAGAAGCAGTTCTTGAATCCGTTGGTGTGTGTGTTTAAGCTTTTTGTTTCTTTTGCCTCATGGCAGAGGCTGGAAGAGATCATAACTGGCATGGGAGGGGTCTTTGATTATGTTGGCTGTCTTCCCAAGGCAGCGAGAAGTATAGATAGATTCAATAGATGGAAGGTTGGCTTGTGTGATGGACTGGGCTGTATCTACAACTCTCTGTAGTGTCATATGGTCCTGTGCAGAATAGTTGCTAAAATAGCTGTGATGCATCCAGATAGAATGCTGTCTATGGTGCATCTATAAAAATTGGTAAGAGGCTTTATGCACATGCTAAATTTCTTTAGTCTTCTGAGAAAGTAGAGGCATTGTTGTGCTGCCTATTCCATAAATTGGACTGGTTTTATGATTCCTTCACTTCCCAATCTCCTAAGTTCAGCTTCTACTTTTGCCCGTAAGGCAAATGACACTGGTGTGCCTTGTAGAATTGTGGAATTGCTTCCTGGTCAACATGGAAAGTCGCTTGGCTCCTCTGATAGGCCCTAGACCTTTCTGGAAAACATTCAGGTATTTAGTTAGGACTTCAGTCAGGCAGACATTCCTAATCAAAAAATGTTGAGCCAATCTAGGTGAATCTCTTACAACCAATTTCACTGTGTTATGCTTGGGCCTTCTACTATAATCACTGTTAACAGAACTAGCTGTGTTTTGTGAGATCAGAACAGAGGTTGTACCTTTAATCTGCAAAGGTTCCATGGTATAGGTTCTCAGCCTAGTTGAAGTCTTGTGCAAATTTATGGTCTAGAGTCCTGAGCAAATTTTATTAAAAACTGCAATCATCGATACAGCTGTGCCAGTAGCCATGCTGACTATTTCTAATCAAACTGTGCTTTTCCAAATAATCGTAAATACTATCTCTCAGAATCCTCTCCATTAACTTGCCCACCACAGAAGTAAGACTGACCGATCTGTAATTTCCAGGATTAACCCTATTCCCTTTCTTGAACAAGGGAATGACATCTTCCATCCTCCAATCTTCTGGTACTACTCCAGTGGACAGTGAGGATGCAAAGATCATTGGCAAAGGGGCGGCAAGATCTTCCCTTGTTTCCCGTATAAACCTTGGGTATACCCCATCTGGCCCAGGGGACTTGGCTATCCTCATGTTTTTCAAAATTTCTAGCACATCCTCCTTCCTAACATCAACCTGTTCGAGCATATCTGCCTGTATCATGCTGTCCTCACAAACGTCAAGGTCCCTCTCACTGGTGAATACTGAAGCAAAGTATTCATTAATGACCTCCCTTACCTCCTCTGACTCCGCACACAAGTTCCCTCCACTATCCCTGATTGGTTCTGCCCTCACTCTGGCCATCCTCTTGTTCCTCACATAAGCATAGAATGCCTTGGGGTTTTCCGTGATCCTATCCGCCAAGGTTTTCTCATACCTCCTTCTAGCTCTCCTAAGTTCATTCTTCAGTTCCTTCCTGGCTACCTTGTAGACCTCCACAGCCCTGTCCGATCCTTGCTTCATCATCCTTAAGTAAGCTTCCTTCTTCCTCTTGACTAGGTGTACCGCATGTCTTGTCATCCAAGGTTCCTTCACTTTACATCCTTTCCTTGCCTCAGTGGGACAAACCTATCCAGTACTCGTAGCAACTGCTCCCTAAACAACCTCCACATTTCTGTTATGCATTTCCCTGAGAACATCTGATCCCAACTGGTGCTCCATAGTTCTTGCCTAATAGCATTGTAATTCCCTCTCCCCCAATTAAATACTTTCCCATACCGTCTGCTCCTGTCCCTCTCCATGACTATAGTAAAGGTCAGGGAGTTGTGAACACTATCACCAAAATGGTCTCCTACCGAGAGATCTGACACCTGTCCTGGTTCGTTGTCAAGCACCAAATCTAATATGGCCTTCCCTCTATTCAGCCTACCTACATATTGATTCAGAAATCCTTCCTGGACACACCTGACAAAATCTGCTCCATCCAAACTATTTGCACTTGTGAGGTTCCAGTCTATATTAGGGAAGTTGAAGTCACCCATGACAACAACCCTATTACTTCTGCACCTTTCCAAAATCTGTCTCCCAATCTGTTCCTCAGTGCCTTTGTTGCTATTGGGAGATCTATAGAAAACTCCCAACAAAGTGACTGCTCCTTTCCTGTTTCTGACTTCCACCCATATTGACTCAGTGGAGAAACCCTCCTCCATGACCTCCCTTTCTGCAGTTGTGATACCATCCCTGATTAGCAATGCCACCCCCCACCTCTTTTACCTCCCTCCCTATTTCTTTTGAAGCATCTATGCCCAGGAACATCCAACAACCATTCCTGCCCCTGGGTTATCCAAGTCTCCATAATGGCCACAACATCGTAGTTCCAAGTACTGATCCATGCTTTAAGTTGGTCACCCTTATTCCTGACACTTCTTGCATTGAAGTAGACACACCTCAACCCGTCGCACTGACTGCCACTTTGCCCTATCAACTGCTTATCCTTCCTCACAGATTCTCTGCTTGCTCTATCTGTCTGTACCCGGCTACCCAATCCTCTGATCTGTAGCTCTGGTTCTCATCCCCCTACCAAATTAGTTTAAACCCTCCTGAGGAGCTCTAGCAAACCTCCCACCCAGGATATTGGTGCCCCTCCAGTTCAGGTGCAACGCTTCCTTCGTGTACAGGTCCCACCTTCCCCAGAAGGTATCCCAATGATCCACAAATCTGAAGCCCTCCCTCCTACACCAGCTCTGTAGCCATGTGTTCAGCTGCACTCGCTCTTTGTTTCTGGCCTCACTAGCCTGAGATTACTATTCTGTTCGTCCTGGCTTTCAGCTTCCATCCTAACTCGCTATATTCACTTTTCAGGTCCTCATCCCGTTTCCTAGCTATGTCATTGGTACCGATGTGCACCACGACTTCTGGCTGGTCTCCCTCCTCCTCAAGAATCCTGAAGACTCGATCCGAGACATCCCTGACCCTGGCATCTGGGAGGCAACATACCATCCGGGAGTCTCGCTTGGTACTACAGAATCTCCTGTCTGTTCCCCTAACCATTGAATCCCCTATCACTATCACTCTCCTATTCTCCCCCCTTCCCTTCTGGGCCACAGAGCTAGGCTCAGTGCCAGAGACCTGGCTGCTATGGCTTTCCCCTAGTGGCCCTCCCCAAAACAGTATCCAAAGCGGTATACTTATTATTGAGGGGAATGGCCACAGGGGATCCCTGCACTGTCTATTCCCTTTCTCCCTCCTGACAGTCACCCAGCTACCTTTGTCCTGTACCTTGGGTGTGACCACCTCCTTATAACTCCTCTCTCTCACCCCCTTAGCGTCCCGAATGAACGTGGTCTGTGAGGAGCTGGAGTTGGGTGCACTTTTCACAGGTGAAGTCAAAAGGGACACTGTAGTGACCCTTACCTCCCACATCCTACAAGAGGAGCATGCAACTGTCCTAGCTTCCATTCCCTCTGCTGTAGATTGCCATAAGAATAAAGAAAAAAAATCCTTACCTTACCGACCCTCCACACAGACTTTTTGTTGATTAGAGGAGGAGGATGGGTGGGAGACATTACACATGTAGTGTTTTGGGTTTAGACAATGCCCGCATGTGATAGTTCACTTCCCAGCTCGCGCTCTCATCACTCCCACCACTGAAAGCAAGATGACCGCTGACTCACGAGGTAAGTTTTTATAAGGAAAACCTTACCTTCCCCACTGCCCGCTGGCTCACACTCTCACCACTCCTGCCGCTGAAAGTAAGAAATAGACGGGAAGGCTAGTCGTGAGGATTATAAAAAGTCTATAGAGGGATACAGACATGTTAAGTAAGTGGGCAAAACTCTTGGCAGATTTGTTTGATTTTGATTTTATTGTCACATGTATTTTACAGTAAGAATACCATAAAATACAGAAAAAAGCTTTCATTTGTTGTCTTGAAATGGCACTATTTTGAATAATTTAAGAATAGGTCAAAAAATAAGAGAAGGATATAGTTTGAAGAGAGTCCATCAATCCTGAACCAGATCATCATTGTCAATGACGCCTGCATCACCATCCATCCATCCTTCTCTGTCATCTATACCATACTCAACCAAGATTGAGGTTGTCGATCTTCTAATGCCATGTTTGCCATTAGGCTGATACTCCTCCCCAACGCCTGCGCCAGACCAATCAATGTCAATCACTTCTCTCGCTGCTAAGCCCACCTCATCGATGTTGCTGTAATGTTGTTCTGTTACCGCCAGTGCCAGACCCAACCAACAACAAAGTTGCCGATCCTCAGATGCCAACTTTTGCTGCTGGGCCTCCCTCACTGATGTTGCTTCTACCGATGTAGCAGCTGCTGGGACCAGGTCCTGTGCTTGCTTTGGAAAAGTAAGTAGGGGCCCACTCTCCTCCATGCTGAGCTGGCCAAGGCTCATGCCTCTGGGGAGCTCAATGTCCATGGTAGGCCTGCCCTAGGTCTGCACCCTGGGCCCAGATTGAGACTGTTCGAGATTGTGCCCTGGGCCCGCTCGATGTCTATGGTAGGCCCGCTCACATTGCATGCACTGGGCTTGGATTAAGATCACTTGAGGTCTGCACCCTGGGTCCACTTGAGGTCCACATCATGGATCCACTCTCACTTCCGCCGATGCTGTCCAAGCTCAGAGCAAGGTAAGTAAAAAATAAGAATAGAGATGGTAAAAGAAAGAAAAAGAAAAGCAGTCAGAATGGATAAGTTCCGGCATAGGAGCCCTACTCCGCCATTACCTTGGACCACGTCAGATTGAATATATTGCAGGAAAACGTGAGATTGCATAATTTGGCAGATGAAATTAAAGAGTGAGGATTATTTAAGTGTGGAAAAACTGCAGAAAGCTGCAGCACAGTGAGATTTGTCGTAAAACATGAATCACGAAAAGCTAGCATTCAGATTCAGCATATAATTGGAAGAGCAAATGAACTTTTGAGCTTTATTTCAAAGCGAATGAAGCATAAAAGATCTCGTTAAAACTATACAAGGTACTCTTCAGACCACAGCCGAAATACTATGAACTACTTCGGTCATCTTATCTAAGGAAAGATATATCGACACTGGACGCAGTCCATAGAAAGTTCACTTGATCGATTCCAGGTATGGAGAGATTTTTTTAATGAGAGTTGGTTGTGTTTGTATTGGAGTTTAGAATGAGAGACAATCTTATTGAAACATTTCAGATGCTTAGGGGGCTTGACGTTGTCGATACAGAGCGGTTGTTTCCTCTTGTGGGAGATACTGGACAAGAGGGCATAATCTCAGAGTAAATTGTTCCTCGTTTAAGACCGAGATGAGAATTATTTTTTCTCAGGGTTGTCAATCTGTGAAATTCTTCACTGCAGAAAGCTGTCGAGGCTGGGTCCTGATGAAGGAGCAGTGCCCCGAAAGCTTGCGATTTCAAATAAACCTGTTGGATTATAGCCTGGTGTTGTGTGATTCTGACTTTGTCCACCTCAGTCCAACGCCCGCACATCCACATCAAGATATTTAAGGCTGAGATGGACAGATCTTGAAATCAGTAAAGGAATCAAGGTTTATGGTAAAAAAGAAAGAAAGTGGTATTGAGAAGTAGGTCCTTAGGTAATGTTATAGAATAGAGACACTGAGGCATTCAGGTACGTAATTCTTTGAAGTTTGTATCACATATAAACAGGATAATTAAGAAGACCTTTATAGCATGCTTGCCTTCATAGCTCAGACCTTTGAGTTGGCTTATATTGAGGTTTAACAGGACGTTAGTGAAACCTTTTCTGGAGTCCAGTTCTGGTTGCCCTGTTATAGGAAGGATATTATTAAGCTGAAGAGGGTTCAGAAGAGATTTACCAGGATGTCTGGTGTGTTGCCTCCCTAGAACCAGGATCAAGGATATCCCAGAGAGGATGCAGAATATTCTCAAAGGGGAGAGGGACCAGCAGGAGGTCTTTATACACATTGGAACAAACAACATAGGGACAAAATTCTGAGCAGGGAATATAGGAAGTTAGGCAGGAAGTTAAAAATTAAGTCCTTAAGAGTAGTAATATCTGGATTATACCCGGTGCCATGAGCTAGTGAGGGTATAAATAAGAGGATACAGCAAATGAATGCATGGCTGAGGAGCTGGTGCAGGGAGAAGGATACATATTTTTGGATCATTGGAATCACTTCTAGGGTAGAAGTGACCTGTATAAGAAGGATGGATTACACTGAATTGGAAGGGGTCTAATACATTGGCAGGGAGATTTGCTAGAGCTGTTCAACATGATTTAAATTAGTTTTGGGGGGCAGGTGCACACAGTGGGACCCAGCAAGATAGTGAGGAAAGAGATCAGTCTGGGAATGGTACAGTTGGGAAAAGGAGTAAGTCAAACAGACAGGGCAAGCAGGAACAAAGCAGAGAACAAGGTAGGACTGATAAATTACACTGCATTTAAGGCAGGGCATGTTTGGGAACATGGGACTGGGATACCATAGCAATTACAGAGACGTGGCTCAGGGATGGGCAGGACTGGCAGCTTAATATTCCAATGGTATTGATGCATTAGGAAGGATAGAAAGGGGAGGGGGAGGCAAGAGAGGAGGGGAAGTGGTGTTTTTGTTTATGGGTAACATTATGGCTGTACATAGGGAGAACTGAGAATTATGAAAGGGATGATCAGGCATTGAGAAACAAATTTGTGAGGCGATCTCAGTTACCTGTAAGAATAAAAGGGTGGTTATGGTAAGGGATTTTAACTTTCCAAACATAGACTGGGACTGCCATAGCATTAAGGGTTTGGATGGAGAGGGATTTGTTAAGTCTGTACAAGAAAATTTTCTGATTCAGTGTGTGGATGTACCCACTAAAGAAGGTGCAAAACCTGACCTACTGTTGGGAAATAAGGCAGGCAGTTGACTGAGCTGTCAGCGCGGGAGCACTTTGGGGCCAGTGACCATAATTCTATTAGTTTTAAAATTTTAATGGAAAGGGATAGACCAGATCTAAAAGTTAAAGTTCTAAATTGGAGGAAGGCCACTTTTGACAGTTTTAGGCAAGAACTTTCAAAAGTTGAATCGGAGCAGATGTTCGCAGATAAAGGGATGTCTGGAAAATGGGAAGCCTTTAAAAATGAGATAACGAGAGTCCAGAGACATTATGATCATTTAAGGGTGAAGGCCAAGTCTGGTAGGTGTAGGGAATGCTGGATAACTAGAGAAATTGAGGTTTTGGTTAAGAAAAGGAAGGAAGCATATGTCAGGTATAGACAACAGAGACCGAGTGAATCCCTAGAAGCGTATAAAGGCAGTAGGCTTATACTTAAGAGGGAAGCCAGGAGGGCAAAAAGGTGACATGAGATAGCTTTGGCAAATTGGGTTAAAGAGAATCGAAAGAGATTCTACAAACACATTAATGATGAAAAGGTAACTGGGGAGAGAATAGGGCCCCTAAAAGATCAGCAAGACCTGCTATGTGTGCACCCGCAGGAGATGGGTCAGATACTAAATGAGTATTTTGCATCAGTGTTTACTGTGGAGAAAGAAACTGTCAGGAAATAAATAGAGACATCTTGAAAAATGTCCATATTACAGAGGAGGAGGTGCTGGACATCTTAAAACTCATAAAGGTGCATAAATCCCCAGGACCAGATCAGGTGTACCCAGAACACTGTGGGAAGCTAGGTAAGTGATTGCTGGGCCTCTTGTTGAGATATTTGTATCATCGATAGCCACAGGTGAGGTGCCAGAAAACTGAAGGCTGGCTAATGTGGTGCCACTATTTAAGAAAGGTGGTAAGGAAAAGCCAGGGATCTATAGACCAGTGAGTCTGACATCAATGGTGGGCAAGTTGCTGGAGGGAATCCTGAGGGATAGGATTTACATGTATTTGGAAAGGCAAGGACTGATTAGGGATAGTCAACATGGCTTTGTGTAAGGGAAATCATGTCTCACTAACTTGATTGAGTTTTTTAAAGAAGTAACAAAGAGAATTGATGAGGGCAGAACGGTGGACATAAGACATTCGACAAGGGTCCTCATGGCAGACTGCTTAGCAAGGTTAGATCTCACAGAATAGAGGGCGAACTAGCTATGTGGACACAGAGCTAGTTCAAAGGTAGAAGACAGAGGGTGGAAAAGGAAAGTTGCTTTTCAGATTGGAGGCCTGTGGCCAGCAGTGTGCCACAAGGATCAGTGTTGAGTCCACTGCTTTTTGTCATGTATATAAATGATTTGGATGTGAACAAAGGAGGTATGGTTAGTAAATTTACAGATGACACCAAAATTGGTGGTATAGTGGACAGCCAAGAAGGTTACCTCAGAGTACAATGGGATTTTGATCAGGTGGGCCAATGGGCCAAAGAGTGGCAGATGGAGATTAATTTAGATAAATGTAAGATGCTGTATTTTGGAAAGGCAAATTAGAGCAGGGCTTATACACTTAATGGTAAGGTCCTGTGGAGTGTTGCTGAACAAGGTGACCTTGGAGTGCTGGTTCACAGTTCCTTGAAAGTGGAGAT